AGCTGCTGCCTGTTCCTGGAGACCCACCACGGAAGAGGCAAAGGAAGCAGTGCTGCCCCATGCAGTCTCTTAAAAGGTCTCTCCCCAAGGAATGGAGTCCCTCTCCCTTTCTAATAATTTGTGGCTTGGGTTCTTTTTCCCCAGTTACACAAAAACAGCACTTTCATTTTTTTAGTATTCTCAATACTTGTGTAAATACTCCTCTGTACAGTCCTCAGCACTAGGACCTGGATATCCTGGAATGAAGAAGAAAACATGAAACTCACTGCAAGCAAAAGATGAATTTTATTCATTCTTTGATACATTATAGATATCTTATCTACTTACACTTCCTTATACCACTATGGCATCTGCTTCAGGGATTATCACTCCATCATTGAAAACTGTCAAGTTAATGTAAAATTCAAAGGGGACAAAGTGGTAGCTAAAAGACAGAAAAGATAATTAAGAGCCTTAAAGTGCCACTTCTAGGAGTTAATGCCTGCAGTAAAGACAAAGGGCTGATACGGGCAATAGAGACATCTCTGGCTATATGATACTGAGAAACTCTTTGAATTTTTTGGTATAAATTGCACTGTGAAAGCAGCAGACTAGATATTAACATAGAGGGGAATTCACAAGATCTGGGCCTAGACATCCACAAAGTGTCCTGCAACTTTCTCCATTACAGAGCTGCCCTTTTCCCGTGGCCCCGCTGCCTTTCTTGAGTGGAGAAACCAGACATTATTTGAAGTACTTTCCTTCCTACAGTGTGCACTTGTTAAGCATTACCCAGGCAATGAGTGCAGTTACAAACACTGTCACCACCAAAGGAGGCAAAACCGAGACGTTATCACCATTGAGTCACAGCGACTACACCAGTCGAGCCTTTACTTGCACTCTGTATGAAACAAGGCAATATAAATAACCTTAATTTCCTATAATTTCGCACTCACAAGCAGCTCGAAGAAGGAACACGTTTGTGTGCAGGGACAGCGCGCCGTGAATCCTGTCCCCTTCAGCGGGGACAAGTCCCTCTACAGGGACACACAGACGTGGCACGGAGGCACCAGCGCGCCCCGCAGAGCCGCTGCCCGGGCGCGCTGTGCCCCGCTCCAGCGGCCCCGCGGTGCCGCCAAGGCTGTTTAATTTTTCTCCGCACTTTCCTCCTTCTCCGTGCGGAGCGCCGCCGAGTCCCTAAAAAAAGCCGGTTTTGTCTCCCAAAAAGCTGTGTGCTCCAGGTGAGGCTCGAACTCACAACCTCGGCATTGCTCGGCTTTGTACTGCTGTATAAGTACCGCGCGCTAACCGATTGCGCCACTGGAGCCCTGACACCAACTCGTCCCCAACGGTTTATCAAGGGCTCGCCCAGCCCCGGCGGGGGAAAAGCCGCGCATTCTCGCCCGCACTGGGCGCTGAGCGGCGGCCCGAAGCCGCCCCGGCTCCGTACCCGGGCCGCACCACCCGTTAGCGGCGCGGGGAAGGCACGATGGAGCTGGCGGACGCCGCACTGCTCGGGGAAGGCGGCGCCCGCGAGCAAGGGAGAGAAGCGAGCGGCGAGGCCCGGACAAAACCCGAGCGCCCCGGCCGCCCCGTGGGGTGGGCGGGCAGGAGGCCGCGGGTGTCGGCGGAGCCCGGCCCCTCCGCCGCCGGGCGGGGCGGGGCGAACGCGCCGGGCGAGGGCGGCGGCGGCGCGGCCTGGGCCCCCTGCGGAGCCGCGGCTGGAGCGCTGCTCGCCGCTCCCTTCGCCGGGGACGAGACGGGCGGAGCTCGGCCGCGGGGCTTGTGGCACCGAGCTTCCCGATGACCTTGGTAAAGGCTCGGGCCGCTGGGGCTGCCTTCCAGCCTCACGCTCAGGGGCAGCCGTAGGGTGACGGTGCTCCCTTGGTCATGCTCAGGACCAGGCCGCAGGGAGGAGTAAGCAGTGACTGGCAGGGAATTAATGTTGGTATCTCTGACATCGCCGCTGTGTGCGACACGAGGGGTGCCTGGCACTCTCAAAACAAGTGTTTGTTCAACACTGTACGTGCATGGTTAAAGTATATCTCCAGCATGGGTTTATCTGTCCTTCCTTACGTGGCAAAAAGATGGTAAACATAACCGTCTGCAGCAGATATTCAAACCCAAGTGTGACTCCACTCCCTCTCTTCCCCCAGGATCCCCGTGTTAAATGAGAAGCACATCCTCTCCGTTCAGTGTCAGCTCACTTGCCAAGGAGCTTTTTCTCCTGTTGATATTACTACTGTGGGCATTACCTAAAATATATTTCCATGATATGCACCATTGACAGGTGAAGCAGCATGCAAATGCTGCTGTATGTGATCCTTGAGTGAGGTGTCTGGCTTGGCGAAGAGAACTGGCAGCTCATTTCTTGAGAGAAATTCTCCATCATATAGGTGTACCTATGGCATACCAGAAAACAGCAGCAGCCTTCATTACCCTTTACATCATTATGGTAACAAAATAGTCTATACAACATAAAGATAGCTGGGGGGGGGGGGGGGAAGTAGTATGGAGAATGTAGTTAAAAAAACAATATAGCCCAGTGTCAATATTTAACTTGTATTCTTTTGTTAACATATTTTTCTTGCTGGACACAAGCTTGTAAACTTAAGTCTCTAATGGGTTTGGTGATTGAGGAAGGTAGAAAAATAGAGTGTTATCTGAAATGCAGCTTTTTCCAGTAACTCTTTTTTCCTGTACCTTCACTGCGATAAATCAATTATTTTAATGCAGTAGTTTTGTGCTGCCGTTCTCTTGCACTCCTTTGGCAGCAAAAGGTTACTCATCAAGCCCTTGCCTTTGCATAAAAGGAAAGATCAGGGCCAGAAGGGAGAACAGAAACCCCAGGTGTTGGAACAGACTTTGATGAATGTGAAGAGCCATCATGAAGAAGACTAGCAAGAAAAATCCAGGCCCCAGTCAGTTCCTGAGGTGTTTGAGAAGCACTTAATCGGGTGTCGCAGTGACTGCAACACTAGTTCTTATCTTTGCCTCTCCAGTACCCTTCACAGAAACAGAGTTTCATAAACTTTCATACCATGCAGTTATCTGCATTCCTTAGCCCCACTATTATATGCATGAAGTGGCAATTAACTTCATTTTTCAGAATGAAAGATTTTCGGAAGGTTACAGAAAATGCTACCCTGTGATAATAGCCTCAGTCCTATATTAATGGTGAATTTTGTAAGTGGACTTTGTTTCCTCCCTGAGTAGGTTTAACTGTCAGGTTTTCATACCTCATACCAGCCACAAAATGGATTTATGAGCCTGCAACTGAGAAAGTTTCTCTGCAGGTAATAGTACCTTCTATTCTGCCTGGTGGGAAAAAGTGGAGACAAGGGATTAGAGCAGTGGTTGTGGACAGGAGCCCTGCAGTTAAAACTGGTACTTTTAACACCATGATGAACAAAGATTGGCTCAATCAGTTCCAGGATCTGTGTTTTTTCCTACTGTGACTCTGGAGAGTCTCTTGGCTTTCCTGCCCAACAAATGGAGTTCTGCTCTGCAATACAAGTTGCTAATGATGAGGGAGAGCTTTACAAAACCACGATCATTAACTAGTGTCTGCACTTCTCCAGTCCTGCCAATCTAGGTTATAAACCCCTAAGTGAAAGTGCATTTCAAATAGAAGCTCTCTTTCCTTCATAGCTAAGAGCAGAACTGCCAGCAGCCTACAGAACAAAAAGTACCAAAATGTACCTGTCTGTAAGTTCAAAACCAGGCCCTATGTGTTTGCTGTGTGGTGGTGTCTCACCACAGCCATTCTGTTGGTAGAAATTTCATGTGCTAAATAAGTGATGTGGTGGTGGTGTTTTGCAATTGAATGAAACAAGAACAACTTTGGGCTTACTTCAAAGGAAATTACAGCTAGTCTCATTGTGATTGTATTAATACAGTGGAACTGTAATCCACATGTGGATCTTTTTATCCCAAAATGAATGGATTTTTTTCCTGTTTTATAAATTACATAGTGAATTTTAACTAAAGTGCAAAGAAGTGATAGAGACAAAGGTAAAATAGAGTCACTCTTACAAATATTTGATAAAAGCACAGTATTAGTTCAAAGTCACACTCTGTTGCTTTCTTCTGGTGGAAAATTACAACAGTATGAGTTTAAAAACTATTATTTTTGTACTGCTCATCGTGCTGAATTTTCAGGCCTGTAGCTGCACTGCTCGCTCATATGTGCAAGCCATGGAGAATGTACTACTCACTTTTAACCAGATAATTTTATCACCTTATACCCATACACATTCACCCACTAAGCACAGCGTAGATAAAAGTAGAAGACTGAGATACATCAAGAGCAAAGTGCTAAGATATTGTAATGTCTTGGGATTTTTTTGTTTGCCCACTCATCTCATGTGTTTGGAGTCTGTTTATTGATTTATTTATTTTTAAAAATTGGGGGTGACAGGGAACAGAGTGAGCAGTCCTAGAGCAACTGTGTGAGGGAATAAAGACTAACGAAGATCTGTAATGTCTGGTTCTTCTCAGTTTCTTATTTGCCTGACAAGTTGATGGCAGTATGCTGCACTTTCCCAAAGGGCACCGCAGAATCAGGGTCAGCTCTCCACAAAACCTGCTATAACATTGGCAGAGCAGATCAAATTAAGATGAGCATTTATGGACAGCTACTCTTGGTCTTACAAATGCAGGAGACATCTGTATTTTGGCTACTTGGCAAAAGAAGATCCCAGTATTTTCAAACAAATACGTGTACCACAAACATTCAGCCTTAGAATGTTGAAGGGAGGTTTCGGTATCAGACTTGAAAGGAGTGAATGCTCCAGCCTCACCCATTTTTTCTGACTTCTTTTCTGACTGGCCATTTTTGTAGAGGTAATGTTCACACTCCAGTAGATGCAGTAAAGAGAATTAAGAAACCCCCTGTGGGCAAAACCCAGTCTCCAAAAAAAATAGATATTTTTAAAATACTAGTCAATTATTAGCCAAGCTGCTGGAGGATTAGTGCTCCCTATGAAGTAACCTTTGGCTGATGTCCCTTTTGACACTGAAGCCACCTCTCCTACCAGCCAATCCTCTGAGCACTGGGGTTGGAATCACAGGCAGTCTGCTCACAGAAAAAGCACTCTTCAAATTCTGATATCTCGGGCAAAAGTTTCAGAGGTGGTGGACCATGGAGCTTCTTGTGAATGTAAGAAAATGGGTAGAAGAAAACAAAACTGCCTTTTTGCCACCTGTTTGCAATAAGCTCATGTAAGTAAATGAATTTTTTTTTTTACCAAGTTATTATATATACAAATATTCCTAGCTATAAGAGGAAGCTGCAAAAATGCATACATTGTAAAGATTAATAAGGAACCATAGTTCATCTCCAGCTGCAGACAGTGCTGTTCCAAAGAAAGCAAGTGAAATCTGACAATAATCTGAGTGCAATAACTCAGCAGAATCTGCAAAGATCAACTTGAATACAAGATACTTGTCTTAACTCAAAGTCACTTGTAGGCAGGGAGACTGAGTTAAGAGAATTTGTGTCAGGCTCTGTGAAAACAAACTCCTAGAAATCAGAGGAGATGGCATCACATGCAAAATCAAATTACAACCTGAATTAGCTAAAGCTGCTGAGAACCATTCAACATCACAGAGGAGCCAAAGCTGCAGGAGCAATCAAAATCAGAAGGGTATGTCACTGAAAAACAAGGAAAAAGGAAGGGCAGCAGTACCAGAGGATCAGATTTCCAGAGCATTTCCAGATCTGTGAGGGGAGGAGAGTAGAGAGCCTGAAGGCTCCATTTACAGTATTCTGAATGAGACAGCCAGTATAAGGAAAAAAAGTGTAGGCATTATGCAGTTGTATGTACACCTTGCATATGCTCTGTGTCAAAGCTTGTGAACAAATTCCAATGTGTCTCAGAATATTAACAAGGATTTCTTTGTCAGTGAAGCTGAGGAGAAAATATTTTGTCTAAAACTGTATGCAGAAAGCTTTCATTAGAAAGTATTCTGTCTAAGGAGTGACATAGACCCAGGTTTTATAAAGAAATGAAAAAGCATTTTCTTGGCTTTAATTAAAAAAAAAAAATCTATCTTTACAATTTTAGTCATTAAAAAAGATCAAAAAATATGCTTCTTGCCCTTCCCTTAAGTGCTATCCCTAATGAAAAGCTGAATGGGCAGTAATGTATCAGTGATACTAATTTCCATTCACAGGGGCAAGGCTTACTTTTCAAAGCAATGGTTACAAGACAAAGAAAAAGCAAAGAGTACATCCTTACTGCCATGTCTGTGTTGAAACTACAGCTCTGTGTAGAACTGAAAAATTCTGAAACTTGAATCACTACAAGTGTTCCCATTTCTTTAATTTTCAAAATGGATTTAGGAAGCATTTTATGAAGCATATTCATTTCTGAAGGTTACCAATTATAACAGGAAAATTTTAGTATTTTATATATATGGAATATTAATGTGTTTCTTTCCCTATCAGTATGATGAATCTTCTTTGTGTTTACTGCACTGTTCTGTACTGCTTACTAGTAGTTCTGTGTAAACCTTGAGTAAATCTGGAATGTGGCATCTATCGCAGACCTTTGCCCATAAGCATTTTAAGAAGTTACAATAAAATGAGAAACATTTTTCGTGATAAAAATTGCATCGTTTAAAACAAAATCTATTTTTCCAACATGGCTTTAGCCTATGTAGGAGAGTAAAACCATCTACTGCATGGATTCTGAGTCTACCACCACCTGCACCTGGTGCTATCTAAATGCTTTCAGGGTTTTCCGAAAGGTTTTAGGTGATTTTTCAAGAAGCAACTAATAGATTTGCAACATTTTTTCAAAGGCTTGATCCTTGATGTGCTGAGTAGAGATGTATAATGCACTCTTCTCACTGTGTCCTACTGCCTCATTGGAAGGCAACCACTTCGAAGTTTAAGTAACTTACTTTGGTTCAAGGGAGACTTAACAGTTAAAACTTGATCTCACAGCAGAACAGTAGGGCTTTTAGTGTCTAAAGTTATTACAGCTTTCAGGCTTTTATGACATTGTGTTCCCTATATTTGAGAGGATCACAATTTCTAAATACCTATTTGGGATTGCAACACAAAACCTCAATTCCTAAATGACTGCCTATTCAGAGTTTTACCAAAGTCAAGAAAACTATGCATCTAATTAAATTGCAGCTCTGACATTGTCTTTTAATGAAACTATCTTGTAAGTTTAAATGCTTTTTAACCTCAACAATGAGTAATTAACACAAAATCAAACTCCTTGACACAGCTGATTTTCACAAGTACTTCTAAAGCTCTTCTTCTGAGTTCAAAATATGATGCTTACCAAAAGGACTATTAAGTGTGGTCATGGACCCACTGATTCTTTGTAGTCTTATAATGCTTTTCAAGGGTTACCTGCTGGTATCATTTTCTTTATGAGGATGAGAAGAGAAATGTAAGATTATGGAAAACTTAATAGTCCATTTTTTAGGTCCTCATTCTAACAATAGTAGAGTCAAGGAATTTTCTCATCCCTGAAACCTTTACAGTACTCTTAACTGCATTTTGGCAGTCTTAACTGAAATTTTTCTTTGCTATGATATTTCATAACAATAAATAATTGTTAAATAGAACAATATTTAAAACAATTATATTAACCAGACAATTTTATTTAGCAAGGTGGACAAACTTACCTATTGAAGTTCCTGGTCATATTTCATAGCTGGAATTTTTTGATGGTGTCAGTATACATTTGTTAATGATTGAATTATTAACCTATAGCCTGTTTATTATATAAAGTCCAGGTAAATCTATGGGGTAAATAAATATAGATTTGCCAAATTAAGAAGTCAAGCAGTAATTGCTTTATAGCAGTATTTTCACTTTTACTTAGTGAACTAATAACAAAACTGAATGTCTATTAAGAAAAACCTAACCCATCTTAATTACAAGGTATTCACAGATTGCCTTTCTCTTATTGTACTCTTCAGTGTTGATTTGCATTTATTTCATTAATTATTATCTGTATTGCTGCTGTTTGGGTCATCCTGCCCTTCTTTAGTAGAAGTGTTCATTAATGCAGTAGCATTACAGTATGCTGTTGAAAATGAATATTAAATCGGCGTGTTACAAACAATTCGGATTTCAGTTCCTTATTTTATGATACAGATATGAAGCCCAGTGCTATCAAATATACAGCTTCCTATGCAGAGAACAGTCATTCTAATTCTGTAGTTTTATTTGACCACCTAATTTGTCACTGTTACTTGTTATGTCTGCATTACTAGTCCCCACTGTGTTGGTCATTATCATTTAAATACTCTTTACAGAAAAAGTGATAACGGTAGCAGACTGAATATGTATGTGCCACCATTCAGACCAGCCTCTCTCAATTAAGGCTTACAAGGTGATGACACAGGGACACGTAGTTGTTGTTCCCTGTGTTTCAGGGGATCATGGCCCTGCTGGTTCCATGTTACTGCCCAGAACCTCCTCATTGCAAAGCAGAGGTTAATACACCTCAGTTCACTTGTCAAACAGCAGGCAAACAAATTTTGATTCACAGCTAACAGGCCCTGATTTTGAGGGGTTTGTTTAGCAAAGGAAAAACTACTACCTTACCTTTTTATTAGTGTGAGTGGACTGATAGATAATTGAGGTGATAGCCATTCCTTGTGATAGCTGAGAGGAGTGCTCACTGGGGCTCTTCAGAGGGGCAGAGTTAAGAAAGGGCCTGGAATCTTCTTTTTGGAAATAGCCACAACCACAATAAAACCATTGTCATGTTATTCCAGCTTTGCAAAACCAGTATAAGCAGAACAGAAATTAGCTGGCAATTCCTACCATCAGTATCGCTGGTAATTCCACCAATGTGGGGGGAAAAAGTATGTTTTTACCTTTATTAACTTTTCAGAGTTTTACCTTTACATAATCAGCTCAGGTTGAAAAGCCTCTTTTCTAGTTCCTGTCTCTTAGGTAACATTCTTTATCTTTTCAAATCAAAGCTCTTTTCACAGCTGGCAGCTATTGTTGTCCTCTTTTCATAGCTGGAGGCATTGAAACACCAGGAGGAAGGTAGTTGTCCTCAGGTCACCCAACAGGACAGTGCCAGAGCAGAGAGATAGTCCAAGGTCTATGTCTTGTACTGGCTGTTGCTTTCCACTCAACATTATTGCATTGGCTCACTGTCCTAAAGGAATTTTAAAAAATAAATGAAATAAAGAACATCATTAACAGAAGTAACTTCAAAATGTCACTTTCTCTTCTAGGCATCGCCATCAATTAAATGTGATGTTTGTTGGAGGGCCAAATGAAAGGAAGGATTATCATATTGAAGAAGGAGAAGAGGTAACCTACAGGTTGTTTATATTACTCTGATTTATCTATAATGATTAAATGTAGCTACAGATTAGAAATGCCAGGCTCAGTGCTGTTGTATTTATTAGATATATTCATAGGCTTAAACAGAATCATTTACCAGAACCATACATTATCTGCACATTTTGTTTGAAACAAAATGTGATCAGATCTGTTTTGCTGCAATTAATTTCCAACAGGAAACTAGAGAAAGTGTTCTGACACATCCAAGTGTCTCATTTCAACATTTTGGAACAGAATTTTAATGATAAGGATATTTTATATCCTGATATTTTATGTCCTGATATATTTTATTATCTGATATTTTATATTAGGTAATGATTTTTTAAAACAATATTTTATTGCAGAAGATTGGTCTGTATTTCAAAAGTAAGTTTGGCATTCAAAAATCAAAAATACTTTAATTCACTAATTACATTTTTTGTGGACTTTGTGAGAATCATCAGCTTTTCAGCTTTCATTTGAGTTTGGAAAGAAAAGAGTCTTTAAATATTTTTCACATCATTCCCCTGTGCTCAAAGCCATTCCACTGGTGGCTCAAAGTCATTCCAACTTTTTTGTGAGTAGCATTGCGCCAAATGCAGCATAGAGGAAGAAAGAGTAGAAACCTAAGAAAATTGTAACAATTTACACCTTCTTTATTTACTGTCTTTTTCTTGGAATTGCTTGCTCAGCCTGGAGACTTCTCCACCACTGGCTCTGAAAGAATCCTAAGGGAATGTGATTACTAGAGGCCTGGAAGTAAAGGTATCAGGATGGAGACAATTTGCCTTGCTTCCCAGCAGAATAATTTAACTTCATGTCATTCCAATGACATTTGGCAACCTAATTTTAAGTATCTTTGGAAACTCAGGCCTAAGCATCTACATAGTTTAAGGCAGAAGTGGATCAAGATTCTATAAATCCTTTTGAAGAGTAAGAAAAATTCATTTACTTTTCACTGAATCATTTCTCCCCAGACCCATGCCAGCATTTCACAAGAGCCTTCATAGATTTCATGTTCTAACTGTGCTATGCAGGTGTGTGTAGCCTTTACAGATGCACAGCTTTGGAAGAACAGATGCTGAGTTATCTCTGGGTGTCTCACCTGTGTTGGATTATCACTACCATCTCCCAACCACAGGCACATCCATCACATGACAGGTTACCAGCACAGTTCACTGTGTACCTTCTCATGGGCTGTGCAGGGAGAGCTCTGGCAGCCCCTGGGACCAGGCCATCACACTGCTTGGGTTTCCTTAAAATCAAAGTTAGGCTGATTTAATTTAACCTTTTTTTTTTTTTTTTTGTAACAAGATGTTCCTGTATTTGTAAATAACTTGGCCTACCCTTTTATCAACTCTTTATATGACTTCTCAACAATATAAAAAGTTAGCCATATCTATAAAGGCATAGTTTTTCATTTACTGTTGCATATTGATGTTATTGCTAACTCAAGTGGAAGCAAGGCTTTTTAGGAATCAGTACATGCTCATTTACATAGTAAGCTTCCCACAATTACTCAGAAACCAAAAATGGAAACATAACAACCCTATCACATAGGAAAATTGGCAATACACACCTCAGAAGCATTATAAGTTATGTACCAGTTTAACATATGGGCCAATTTTATTCAGTTTTATAAAAGCTCTTCATTGCATTATAGTTATTCATTGCATTTTACCATAGCTTTTTATGTGACACATTTACACCTTCCTGTGATCTAACTCAGAACCATATTTTTCATTAGAGAAGAATTGTGAGATAGAGAGTATCCTGGCAAAAGGGCATATTCCTAAATTAGGCTTGGGATTTAAAGAAAAAAAACATTCAAAGCCATGTTCAGCTCATTATTTTGTCAGGAAAAGGGTAATTTATAGTTCTAGGTGATAATTTGAAGGCAGACTATATAGACATACTGTCAGCAGGCCAAATCACGAACGCGAAAACCCACAAATCCTTCAGGCAAATTTAGCTGATGCTGTTCTACTTTTGGTATTCTCAAAGCAAAGAAGGGCTGGTTTGGAGAGAAAGTTACATTTAGGATTGTTTATATCTGTCCACTCACTATCTCATGCCTGTTATCACACTGTTCATGGAGTGTCCTGTGGCAGAACTTGTGCTTGAAAGCCTGCAGTTCACAGCAGCAAAGGGTTGGCACGCAGAGATAAGGGCTGAGGAGCATCCGCCTGCTCCCCCGAGCTGCTCTCTGCTGGTGCCATTAACGTGCAGGTGTATCAGGATGATTAGGTCTGACTGGCTAATTAGGAGGAAGAAAAAAATGAGGCTTGATTTGAAGTCTCTTCAAAGCCTTTTAGAATTTTCTCCTGGATAGCCATTTAGGCTAAAATGACAGCTATTCTAGCACAATTTCTTTTCTCCTCTCAACAAGCAGGCATTTCCTAAATAACTCTTATTTTCTTAGTTTTCTCTGTAGCTCTTCACCACCTTCTTAAACTTTTGTGCACTACTTCTTTGCTACCATTCTGCCCAAAGAAAGTCTCATACCGACACTGTGTTACACTGGGGAGGTTTTTTAAAGAGAAATACGAAGCTGCACCTTACACGAGTTAAACCATTCACAGGCTTCGGCTGGAATTTACCAGGAAGTCATATTCATTCTTATTTGTAAAGTTCCCTTTTTCTCCCTTCTCCATCAGAATAGAGGTAGTCAGCAAACATCTACTTGGACATTCTCTGCCTCTAAATCAGACTCATTCAAAATGAAATGCTTTGGGAAATGCATTTTCTGTTGGAACATGGCAAAAAAGTGCTGTGAGAATGGACCTATATATCTAATACTGACAGAACTTTCTAGGAAGTGTTTGTGCTGCATAATGAGTTCTGAGAGTTTCAAATGAATCATTATTTTTTATATGCCTCATTTGTTAAGAGAGTTTTGGGTTCCATGGACTACTGACTGCAATTCTTGTGCAGTCAACTTGATGAGGCCACTGAAAGTTTCTGTGGCAGGTCTGACGTGAACACAGAGCCACAGAATCACTAAGGCCGGAAAACAATGTCAAGATAATTGAGTCCAACCTTTGGCTGAAACCACCTTGTCATCTAGGCCGTAGCACTGAGTGTCATGTCCAGTTGTTTCTGAACACCTCCAGGAATGATGACTCTTCAATGCCTGACAACCCTTTCCACGAAGAAATTCTTTCTGCTGTCCACCCCAAGCCTCTCCTGGCACAGCTTCAGGCTATGTCCTCTTGTACTCAACCTCTCACAGCTATGGGGCAGCAGGTACCAGGGAACAGTCCTCAATATATCTTTTTCTTGGATTTTTCATCATACCACAGCATTTGTGACAAGAAGAGTTTCAGTGTTAACATAGCCTACAGGCTTCATGGTGTATTTATTGCATTTTCACTTGTAAAGCCTAAGGGTAGAAAAAAAAAACAAAACCTTCTTCCAAAGAAATAAGTGAAAACTCAAGTGGACCATATATTTTGGAGAAAGTTAATGACAGAGAAATCCTACAATCATAACAAAGCCTAGGTCCAGTACAAGAATTTCAGAATTTATTTATTGCATTGTGTGGGCTGCTTTGGAGAAAAGTGAGATATGCTAACAGCTAAATCTGTTAGCAGATTTAACTCACAAAAGTAATTAGGCTGCTGTCTCTTTACCCACCCTGTCCACCACTTGCACACAGTGAATCTCAACTGACTTTGATTTTTTTAACAATTTACATTCTGATGTTGAGTCTTTGTAAAACAGTGCAGTTCCATGCAGAGAAATTCAAATCAGCCATACATCCACCACCTGCAACACATTTGCATTGGCACAAATTCCACTTGGATTTAGAAGTCCCACTTCTCACTGTGCTATATTTTGCCCTAAGTTTCTGCTGCTCAGCATCTAGGTTGTTTCCTATGGATAGAGCCACCTAATTATTGGCACAGCCCCACAGACCAAGGCCCTCATACTGCAGTCCTAAAGAGAACTCTCAGAGAAGGAGTCCCCCCTAAGTCATCACTGTTGAGGCAGGACAGGAACAGAAGAACTCCAGAAGGCTAGATGATGTGAACTCCAACTGATTTAATTCAAATACATCACTCTTTTTATGAAGAGCATCATGCAGACTAAATTCATTGGTCTTAAAGTAAAAACATCTCACCTCGTTGGTGTGCAGTTAATGACGCGCGGTGGCAGAACACATCTATTAACAATGTGAACATATCTATAAACAATGTAAGAGAGATAGAGAATTATTTACATTCCTTTGCAATTCTTTCCCAGGCTCTAGCCTGGCAGAAACTCTCATTTCTCTCTGACTGAACTGAGAATACCTATACCCCTCCTTTGATCATCTTGGTTGATCTCTTCAGCTTCTTCTAGCACATTCACATGGTCTGACTGAGATACAACGTCATGCTTTGAAACATGATACAGGTCTGAGGTCACATCTGCCACAAGTCATCTGAGTTTTCTTGACCTGAATTTTGATTTCTCTTTCTCTCCCTCTCCCACAGACACCATAAGTATGACTTGGCTCCAGTTTCTGACAGATTATCTGCCTAAATACAGCCTGACCCCTTCTAGTGTATGCTACTCTCCAGTCAGCATGTTTTTAAGAAACTCTCCTGTCAGATCAATTTGCCCTTTGCATTTTATAAGGATAGTGGATGTCTGAAAACAAGGGGGAAATGGGACTAGGTGAGCATTCCCATAGGTTGTTTTGTGGTGTTTATATCCCAAATAAATCTGAGAACCCGAATCACAACAAAGCAAAAGAAATATTTTTGCTTCTTTACATTTAAAAACCCCATATTTATCTGGTAAAGACTCTTGGGATGTTTTAATAAGAAACAAAGCTCCTATTAAAATGTAATAAGAATGTTGATTCTCTTGCCTCAGAAGGAGATTATGTCTTCAGAAATATTTTTGCTGCATAAGATTGTTGGTATGAGTTTTGGCTAGTATTCAGGTCTCACAGATGATATGTAAATAAACAGAGGAAAATAAAAAAACAAACTATAGCAAAAGCCCGCAACATAGTTTTCTCTACCTTCCTCATCTGTTTGTCTTGTAGACTTCTGATGGCTCAAAAACCCTTGTGATGAGAAATGGAGAACATTGTTTTTCTGTACTCAAATAGATCAGTCACCATTGAAGTCTGGAGAGCACCCAAGCTCTACTCCCACATCAGAATTTGATTTGCTCTGCAAATTAATTTAATGCTTAGCCATATGACAAGCAATACAAGCCAGGATAGACCAAGCCAGAGCCTAATCCCAGAAGTGGTTGAACAATCCCAAATTCCATTTTTAGAAGCAGTAAGAACTCAAAGTATCCTGCTAATTGCAGGTCTCTTTAGAGGTCTGTAAGTAAGCTGTCAGCTATCAAAGCCCTCATGGAGCTCTGGGGTCCTGTGTCTAGGCAGAGTTTGATATCAAAGGTGGATACAAATTAAATTACATACACTGCTGTACATGAAATAAAATAGACTTGTGGGTTTTTTAGTTAGTCAATACAGATCAATTGCAAATCCTGTATTCTTCCACTACTAGATGCTTCTTGAAGGAGCGATTCTCACCACACTAATATAGTGATGACGTTTGTGCTTCTTTTAAGGTAGTATCCACTTGTTCTACTACCCTGTTGAAGTTTCTGTCAAGACAAGCAGCTTCAGCAATGCTTCCACTGATGGCAACAGTGAATTGCTACCTCTGTGCACCTCCTCTTCTTGCCTCCAGAAATGCCAGCATAATTTATTCTATGAGTATTCATAATGGAATGGAATATCCCTGTACAGACTTGAGAGTGCTTCAGCACCTGCCATGCTACCTTCCCCTGCAGGCATAATAGCATCAGGTTTGAAGCTTGATCAAAAAGGGTGAAGCAGACTAAGGAAGGAGAATGGATTTCTCCTACAGCAAAGAAAATTTAAGGCAAATTAAATTTATAAAACTAATTTTATAAAACCCTCTCAGTCTTAAGGTGGTTTCATTTGAGTTTCATAGGTATATCTGCAGTTTCCATCATCATATTGAGCAATGTTATGAAATAATGTTGTGCTTTCAGCAAAGAAGCACTCCTAGGTGCTTCATAACTTCTAGAGGTAAGGTGAGCATTAATAAAGGAGGTGTTTTTAGTGTAATTATATTGAGAAGATACCACATAATAAGCAGAAAACTAAAAAAAGTGCTGAAGTCTGGAAAAGAAGAAGAAAGGAAGAAGATACAGTAATAAATAAATAAGCACATTTAGTAACAAAGGATAAAAAGAATGGTGGACAACCGTTTTTTCTTCCTTTGGACACGTTCTTCACCCTGAAAGACAAAATTAATGCCCAATTGTGAGCTATTATGCAGTAGAAATATACAAATCTAGGCTTTTCTACAAGTGATACATGCATTTCATGTAACAAGAGGCCTTGTCATTAATAAGATGTTAATAGAGCAGAAATATTGCATATTTCCTCAGGTTTTAGTACTGCTGGGGAGAACGGATACTAGATTATTCCAGTAAGAACAGTACAGCTGGGAAAGCTTATATTTTCGAGTGGTATGAACTCTATTGACTTACTACCCTATAGGAGGATAGGCATATATATTTGTGTATATGCATACATATACATGTAAATATTCATTTTTAAATTTTTTTTTCCAAGAGAGAGACTTAGGAAAACATTAGATTTGCCCTAAATGCTAAAGTCAGTCAGTATTTAGAAAAAAGAAGTTTCCAACAAAAAGACAGTACTGTGTTGCCAATCTGGCCTCTGAAATGGGCATGGACTGTAAGTCACTGAGATATTAAATAGCTGACAGTTTCCTTGATCAAAAGTTCAGGTTATATTATAAGCAAAGCAGTAGATTCACTAATTGCTGCCACTTACATTAATCACAGTTACATCAGATGATTTATGGATGACTGAAGCAGTCAGGAAATTTAAAAGAAAAAAAAAAGTTTTTAAGAATAAACCACAATTTACAGTGAAAGGTACTATTTAAATTCAGTCAGAAAAACCCTTTAATTGACAATGTGTAGCCCACGTCATTCCTCCTCTCCCACTACAAAACAGTTCTTTTAATTCATAACTTACTGTTTATAATCTTTCCTTATGACTGTGATGCTTCACCTATGGACTGGATTGCTGACATCCACTCTCAAGTTTTTCATTTCCAGTAAGGTTTCTCAGCTGCATTATTAACGTCAGAAGCAGGATAAACTCTACCTCTGTTGTCCTGTCCCTCATCTACATGTCCTGTGCCTGTGTTCAGTAATAGCTGCCCCAGTAGCTGCAGGGGAAATAACACTCCAAAGCTCAAGACTTCCAAAATGATACTTTAGGTTTCAGCATTATCAGTGCCATATGACCCACAGCTGGTGTGACAATCCATCTAGATCAGAGTTTTAGATGAATCTTCTATGAACTGAAGGAGAGGTCATTTCCCCACTCAGATCACGCTCTGTCATGCCCAGTGGAAGGAGGGCAGCTGTACCTTTGGGTGCTGCCCTTCAGAAATGCCAAAAAAAGCCAGAGCAAAAGAACACAGAGAAATGGACTGCAGTGAGGATCAGTAGCCTGGCACTGTGGCCTTCTTGACAAGAGTTATAATTTATCTGTAGTGATGCCCCTGGCACAAGGTGAACTTTTCACTCATGTGAAAGCTCTAAGCATGAGCTTTTTTCCAGTGTATCTTCAGTTCTCTCTATTGTTTTGTTCCCTTGGCAGCATATTTATTCTTTCTCATGTTCACAGAGAGTGTATCTTCAATTCCAGGGGCATGTATTAATATTTCAAAACTCTTTCAAAAATAATACTGATTAAAAAATTGATTAAGCTTTTCTAATGTTGGAAAGAGTTCAGTTCAAGGGGTTTTCATACTTCAGTGGTTTCTTCTTTCCCCTATTTTTTTTCATTTTGATGAAATTGTAGTGACTTGCTATAAATAAGGGATTTTTTCAATGATAGTTCTAAATTTGAATCATGTTTCAGACTACTTCAGCTACACTAGTACTCTGGTTTCTAGATGTGGTAAAGGGAACATGGAAAGCACGGCAGAATTGACTTCTGGAAATATTATTGTTCTGCGCACATAAAATTGAGGGAGAATGTGCCCATTATTTCAGGTCAAAGATACAGATCTGCTTACAGATCGTAACCCAGTTCTGTCATGAAGCACGAGTACCTAAGCACCTCCAAGCCCCACAAACAGCAGAGCTGGTTTTCTTCTGAAAACAGCCAAGAAAAGGTCACCAAAGACAGATTTGAGTTCAGTGGTTCATAATTTGAATGCAACCCTTTTACATAAACACAGTGGGAAGAGCAGCAGCTGTTGCTGGATTTGAGGGTATCCACAAAATTAAAGCAGAACAGCTTCCAAATGAAAAAGCACCATTAAAAAATTGAAAATGTACACCAAAAGACCTGTATGTGCATATTTGGAGCTTATCTGGAGAATTTACATATAATTTGATTGATTAAAGACCCTGCTACATCTGAAATTAAGCTTTCTATATTGTGTGTGTAATTAATGGTTGCTTGAACTGTAATGTTGTGCCCTCCAAAAAATAATTCCAAGGATAAAACCAGGACAGTGAAATTCCACCAGGTCCAGAGAATAGCCCTATATGCTCTATATCCAACTTCTTGGATAGATTGTTAATTCTTAGTAAGATAATAGAAATAATACATATTCTGTAACTTTTTAAAATAAATCAACAGATTTTAGAAGCCAGTTTTTGTTAGAAAAAAATCCTCAAATATTTGCTACTGCAAATGGAATGTATTCATACACATAGTCTTTGTATAGAGAATATAAAGTACAGAATGTTTTGGAGTAGCTGCCTTAATGCTATATTCTTATTTCTTCAGCTTTTTTACCAGATTCAAGGAGATATGTGTTTGAAGATAATTGAAAATGGGAAACACAAAGACGTTGTCATCCGAGAAGGGGAGGTAAAACAAGATTGGTTTTCTGTTATAGTTGTACATAAGTATGTTACATGAATGTTTTATGTGTTATTTAGAAACAAATTTATCTCTGCTGTGCAAGAGATCGAATCAGGATTTATTAAAAAAAAAATCAAAAGCTTGAATGGAGTATAGAAAATTTTAAGTAAATAATAGGAAACTACAATAAACTGTGTTCAACATTTGACTGTTTCAATAACAGATAAAAATCCCTCTGAACATCTGGGATATCTATTCAAATACCCCACACTCTCAGTCAAGAACATGGGATCTGCTATGTGAATTCAGTTGGATCAGTCTTTAATTTACACCTTGCCAGGTACACACTGCTCATCCACCCACCCACATCATTAAACAAACTGCCTAAACTGAGGAATTTAAGTGATTCATACATTTTCAGCCTTCTTTCATCCTCACAGCTCGACTTTCCAGCCATCACAGTAGGACAGCTTTAAAAGAGCCGTTTACAAATAAAATCTATCCAATTTTTCCTTAGAGTAGTACTTTTGCTAAAGCACAGATTGCAGTGCTTTTACCAAGAGCATGAATAGACACTGGCTGTTACTACAAGTTAGATGTACTAGAACTACTACTCATGGTTATTGACACAGCTTGGACTGCACTCTAGTCTTTGAAAGGATTATTAGGTCTAGTGGAGACAACCTTTAAAATGGAAAGTATGTTAAACCCAATAGCTTAATACCATTAAAAGCATTATGGCTTTTTCAATGACAAAACAGAGCCACGTTTTCCAACTATGAGGTTTCTGGTGTTACACTTCACACTGCAGGAGCACACCCAGCTGAGATCTCAGCATGTAAGAGAAGCACTAATGAAAAGGAGCACACCATACTTGGTGGAAAGACTGACACTAATACTGCTGAGGCACTGTCATTAGCTCTATTTTGTAGACAGAGGAACTCTATGGACTGCCCAGCCTTAGCAAAAACATCTCCACTGGAGAAGAATACAGGCTTACCAGCTAGCTGCTAGGAAAGGGTTTATTCTCAAGCTTCAAAAATAGGCTTCTCTTAACCACATGTTGCCTAGTCACTTTGTCACTTGCATGAGAAAATAGACCCTCATATTTGTTATTTATTTCTGGAGAGAATAGCACTCCTCATCATGCAATCAAAGGTTCTCAAAGTGTTGGGAGGATACATGTGGCTGATTAGTTTAAACATTTTACTGAGCAGATAAAAAAATCTGCTTTTTTATTTCCCTTTCAATTACTCAGAAATTGCAGTAAGTTTATAAATTTCAGATGAGAAATTGATTGGATTTTCATTTCAGTTGTGCCTAGAAAAGGTGATCAGACCAGGAGGAGAGAACTTGCCTGCCATCAAGGCAGTGCTGATTGCAGTCACTGTGTCATCATTCACAGAGAAAGCAAGAAACAGTGTTTGCAGGGCTGTGGGTACAGCTGCAAAGGAGAAACATGGGATCAACAAGAAGTTGGGGAGAAGTGGGGAAAGGAGCAGAAGACTTTGCAGGTTGAGGGGCAGGAAAAGGACAATGCAAAAAACAAAGACTTCCTGACACTGATACCTTCTGATTTCACTTAACAGATGTTCCTGCTACCTGCCAGGATACCTCATTCTCCTCAGAGATACGAAAACACTGTGGGTCTTGTGATGGAGAGGAAAAGATTAAAAACAGAAATGGATGGGCTCAGGTGAAGTAAAAACTATTGACTAATCTGTTAGAATTCATAATATAAACTAATTTCTTATATCAATACAATGCTGTGTTTTCATTTCCTGGTAATTTATCAAATTCATCCTGGCAATTTTGTACTAATTCTATCCACATATCTATTTATCTATACATGCATAAACAGAGATCTCATTTAGCATTTACTTCAGTTAAACAAGGACCATATTGAAATTTCTGAAATACATGTGATTATAGTAGTCTACTTATGTACTATGTACTGCTATTGCCTTAGGTTTTAAAAAAGATCTCAGAGCTCTCTAACAACTCAAATAAAAAAGATTTTTTTATCAGTTCTGGCAAGCAGAATATTTATTCCTTTGTAAGCACTGAAAGCAAAAAGGTGAAGAACAGCTTTCTTGTCAAGTGTGTGGGAAGCTAGAAACAAAAGTCATTTTTTTCACCACTAGTCCCTCTACATTGTACACACTCTGCCTAGGTTTTATCTTCATGTAAGTGAGTGGTTTGCTTTGTCTTCCAGAGGGAGCAGGACTCAGTTTTGTCTTGTGTCCATACAGAACTCACAAGACTAAGAGAGAAAGTCACAACAGTTTAACATTAACCAATCTAGAAAACTGTCTTGGTATTAACCAGAGACGTCAGACCAAGCAGAATTTACAGCTGTCCATATAATCCATACAGATTTAAAACTGTGGTGATATCTGTAAAATGCTGTTTCTATCCTTTCACTTACAATTTTGACTGTTGCATGGGTAGTGTCATAGCAGGAAGATTACAAGTATGCAGAGCTAGAAAGATACTCTTTCATTCAAAGAAACAAGGCTACAGAAACTAAGGGACCATTCAAGAACAGAAACCCACATGATTAAATTCCAAGCTAAAAATAAGTCCAGTTCATTTAAAGTATTGTTTGCCTATGTAGTTGTCTCTTTTTTCCTTCCATTGCAGATCTGTAGCTTGTGTGGACTTATATTATTTAAAGGATACTTTCAGCTAGAAAAAAAAATAGCCAGTTATTTAGATAAAAACCATTTATTATTAAGATAACAAGAACTAAATAGCAAAAAAATAACTTAAATAGTAAAGTAAACTTTACTTAAAATAAAAAAACCTACCATGTGAAGTCTGTGAATGGTATGAGAGAGAAATGCTGAATGCCTTTTTAGGGATCCAGGCTGATCTAGAAATTTGCACTCCAATGTAGGCATGCTTATGTGGAGAAGCTAAACTAAAACTACCTTATGGTTTCTACCTTGCAGGTGGAAATTAACACATCCTCAATTCAAAATATCTAGTCAGATGCCTTAAAATAAATCAGAAGTTTTTAGTGCCCTTGTTTTCACACTGATGTGGTGAATGAAGACACTTGATGTTTTGGAAGTGAACAATCTTGTCATGCTTTTGAACCTACATTCCCTCTGTGTGCTCCTGAGACAGAGGGGAATTTACAACCAGAACCCCAAATGTTCTCATACTTTTTTCAATACCAGCCACCTGCAGCAAAGACTGCACAAGAAGAAATCATAATGCACTTTGAAGTATGCTGACTCAAAGTCTAATAATGTGTTACTGTTCCGTTATTTATCATGTCTACAAACCACAGTCATAAATCAAAGCCCCCAGCATGCTGATTACTGCACAAGTGAAGAGTAAGTAGCCTGCCCCAGTGTTCCAGCCTAAGTAATGATTACATGTCTTGTGCTATGAGAAAAATGATCTAGCTAATCTTAATTCTGTGGCAAATAAGCACCAAACCAAATAAGTTTGATGTTAGTCATACTGTTGGATACTTTATTTGTACCAAATGAGACATATTTAGCATCTCCCTTCCCTGTAGATTGTGTTCAGAACTTGTGCTGGCGCACAACTTTTTCTAAATTGGAGGTATAGATAGTTATTCTCTTCAGTGTATGCTCTTTTTGCAAAAGTTGAGGAGCCAGGAAGCACTTAGAAAATTTCTGGACCATATATGTATAGATACATAAGACAGACATGAATATACAGATATGGACAGGATAATTTCATAAGTTTTGTTTTCTCTTCAGACACACATTCCAGTAACTTTAAGCTAAAAGGCATACAGGACCTTTTTAGAAACATTGACAATATGAGTGACAGGACTGGAGCACCATTCCTTGCAGTCTTTTAAAAATCTGACTGTAAATTCTGTATTTGTCATTCCATAGATTGATTCCATACAGCAACCTTAACTTATTGACCTCACCAAAATTTATTTATTTGTTAAGACAAGAAACTAAAGCACATGAAGCACTAAATTCCTCTTCAGAGGGGTGATTCAAACACATCCCAAATCTGTGTAGCTGAAAACCATCTATTTTTCACTAACCATAAGCCACCTTGTTTTCTTATCAGCCCATGCATGGGCACCAAGCAAGCTGACTCTATCAAATTTATGTCATAGCTGCATGGAAGCAATTGCTGGAAATGATATTTGGGTCCAGTTTTTTTTGTTTTGTTTTTGGATTTTTTTGTTTGGTTTGGGTTTTTTTTTGGGGGGGGGGGGTTTGTTTTTTTTTTTTTTTTTCAGTAACTACATCCAAGGTCAAAGTTATTGGTCCCAAGAGATTATGGCAGCAATCATTTCCAGAATGAAATAGGGAAAGGGTGATTTAGGATTGATCAACAGAACTACAAGGCACTCCACAGAAATTTGAACATCCCACCAAGTCACCCAACCAGGAAAATGGAAACTTTCCTCAGAATGAAGTACACCAGGCTTGATAATAAGGTGCTCTTATGCAACACTGAATAGCTATTTTCTTCAAAAGACTGAAATAGCCTGATCAGTTGTTAATAAAAAGATTGACTAATGTGTTTACTTTATCAGATACTATGTTGGAGAATCAACTAATGTCCTCTTTGAAAAATGGTTTCACTGTGAAGATCTCGGCACTCAACTTGCACCAATAATTCAAGAGTAAGTTTTCCTTTATACATTTTTAAAAAAAATAAATTATATTGTAGATTTTTGTCAGCCTGTGGCTTATGCCATTAATTTGCTATTTATGCTGCATTTTACATAGACTTGTTAAAAGTTAATTGCTGCTCTATAAATTTTTAATCATGTCTTGTATGCCCCAAATTCATCAAATCAGATTTTTTTTAAAAAAGAGAAATCAAGTATTTCTCACATCCTTCTGGAACTCACTTTTTTGAACCAGTAAACTTTGTAGCACACTGCTTCTAAGTGCAAAAATAATTGAGTGAAAAATTAACACTGATTAATGCTATGTTATCAAGGTAAATCACTGAACTGCTTAAAGGCTTCTTTCACTCTTGCTTTAATCTAAGTACTTTTAATTGATATTATTTATGCATGATCAGGACTGTGGCAAATTTGGTAGAGAGCTACTGTCTAGGAAACATGTGAATGTCATTAATCAGTTTTTAAAATGGTTATTAAAAGTGAACAAAGGAAATGTTTAGTGATATTAATCTTGTAGGACTTTCAGACAAATCCTCTGTCAGTAAAATAGATATAGTCTTGAATACATGTGACAGTAGCTGAGGATTTGGCATTTCCATTATCAGCACAAAACTTACTGGCCAGTATTACTGCCTAGTCTTTGTTAACCTACAGAACAACTTTTTTACTTCTGTTTAAATGTTCATTATTCCAGGTTTTTCAATTCAAGGCAATATAAAACTGGAAAACCAAACCCAGGTAATACAAATTAATTTCAGAATTAGAACAATTGCTGATTGAAGAGCAATGATTCTCACCACATAAAATAAGTACCTGTTTTTCTTTCTGGTTGTATAAATTAAAGTTATTTTGGAAAGAAATTCCTTTCATTACCCCAACCACAGGGAAATTCTATATAAATTATTACCAACGGCATCTTGCTTGGTCATGTGATGCCATCTACCTATCAGGGAACTATACTAATGTGAAATGTGAAAACTCTATCCTTCCATGCCTGTCAAGTCTTATACTAACAAAATTTCACTTCTGACAGCCCATAAAGAGATTTTTACAAGTAGAATTAATACACTTTATACCTACTTGTACTCCTTTACCTATAACTGTGATCTATTCTTGGGAAACCTAGGGAAAACCAGATTATTTTAGTTCCCATAGGGTCTGATCTGTTTAGCATTTTATTTCCATGCTGTCGTGCCACATTTTTATTTTGTCTCTGTTGTGGATAGAGATTGCAAATTCCACACTGGAACAAATACTCTAGTTGTAACTCCACTTAAATCTGTTGGAAAGAGACACAAAACAGAGAAAGCGACTTCTAGAAAGCAAAGTTATTAATTTTGGCTTTAGGAGTCAGATCTCTCAAATATGATGGTGCTTTTCTGCATGGCAACAAAAGCCTCAGTTGCAAGGATATTGCAACAGCACCTTCAGTGAGAAATTTGTTTTGCTGAAACCATACAATTCTGCTGGCCCACAGCTTTAAATGAGCACCCACCGTGTGCATGGTCCACATTCCTATTGAATAACATAAACTATGCCCAAAATACCACCCTTAGTCTTAATTATGTACAAAAGACCACACTATACAACCATTTCTGCACCTGCAGGAACAGGCTCTATAGACTATTTGGAAGTGCTTTAGCTTTGTGCAACCTGGTCAGTTCTGCTGCAAGAACTACCTGGAAAGTCTCCATGACATTACCAGGTTCTTAATTTGCACATGGAAAATGATCATAAGAACAGCAGAAGCTGCCAGTGTAATCTCCAAGAGAGCCTGAGATTCCTTCCTGCAGGGTTCCTACACCGGCTAGCCAAATGCTACCAGCTCAGTCAATCTCCCTGCTCAGCTAGGTTTGTTCTTTCAAAAGTCTCTCTGCTGTCTCATCTATGCTGGCAACTGAGGGACATCCTGCACCAACCAAGAAATGGATGTATGGCTCAGGTGCACTGCACCCAGCTATACTACTCTCAACCTCATGACCAACTTGAATATCATCTTCCAGTCACACTCAAAACTTGAATTCCATAGCTCTTGCAACAAGAGAAATTTTAGTTTCCCCTCTCTAAAAGGTTTTTGGATCAGCTGTCCTTAATCTCCACATCAATTCCTAAATATCTTAAGGTGATTGTTATGAATTACTCTAAGAGAGACAAAAGCTTCAGTGAAATGTTATTTCTACATCTATCCTGTCTCTCAGCTTGATAGTCAGCATAAAAAAAAGTCACTGTTTGCCATCTCAATCAATAACAGAACAAAGCTGTTACTGAAATTCTAAAATTCGGTTAAGCCGTTTTTTACCTGAATATCAAAGTTCTTAAAAATAATTTACTAGAACATTGTTGCAAACATGAAGTTAAGAGAAGATTATTCTGTATGGGGTAGCAACCTTAAAGCCCTTGCAGTCAGAGAATGGTAAAGCAGTCAGAAACCCTGCCTGAAAACTTTGCTGAACCAGCTTTAGGCATTGGCTCTTTGACTGACTGGGAAATGTAATTATCAGGGAATTTCTGATCATGTTTCTTATAAATAAAAAGATCTTGTCTCCAAGATCTTACTTTTATTTATATGCACTGTCAAAATCTGTTTTAGTCTGAGAATGTCTCCAGCGTTTGGGTGTTGGTGGTTTGGCTTGTTTGGGGTTTTCTTTGCATGGAATGTGTGAGGGCTACGTAGTACATGTACTGCCTCACTGTGTGTTCATACAGTGTTTAGTAGAGGAAATATAATTTCAGATGAAGCCTCTAGATGCTGCTCTAATAAAAAAAATACCATATCACACATAGTATCCTTGTACAATACAAGTGATTTGCAATAAACATCCCTCACCAGGTTAAGAGTTTAAATATCAATAACAAATTAATAATATCAGGGCAGAAACAAAATTACATTAAAGATTTATATTGTTAATATTTTTGCAGAAAATTAGGGCTAAGGAACAAACCTGACAATCAATCAGAAGCTACAACATATCCTGAGACCTGTTTTTTAAACAAGAAATTCTGAGAAACTGTTATTGATAAATTTAGTACAGAAGCTCTTTCCTTGTAATTTACCTGGCAGGTTTTCAGCCTGGGGAACAGCTTTCTTTTTCCAATTTTCAGGTTTTGTGGACAATAAATAACCCAACATCTCAGTGATATTTATGTGTGAGGAAAACACCCAACATTTTTAGTTACAAAAGTTTTAGTTTATAGCTCCTGTAACTCTCAGTGACGATGTTTAAAAAAAAAGAAAACAGCAGTTTGACTGAGATAGAAGATGGTAATATGTTCACTCTGAAGGCATACCCAGCTGATATAATTATTTCCTCAGCAGCTCTCTTTTCTTTTTTTTTTTCTTTTAAGAAGTAGAGTTCAGAAACCAGCATGACATTTGTAACATATAACAAGCTACCAGTTGCCATGATGTTTCACTCAATACATATGTCAACATTGTCTGAGTTGGCTTATGCAGAGGATGGCCTCTCAGCCTTTTTTTTCAGTTCTGAAAATCCAGAATTACTTCAATTTTAAAGCGCCAGCTGAAGCACTCTTAGGTTCCTCTCCACATAAGTCTGAACTAGTGCCTCACCTTCTTAGAGAGAAATGGAATAAAAATGAGGAAAAACATCTTCAAAGAAATCCTGGATTGCAGCTCACTCATAGAGGAAAGATGTAAATAGAATCAATCAAGTTGCAATGGTTTCTGAAAAACAAAGGGGAAAAAAAAAACCCTAAGTCCAGACCTTTCCTTGATTTATGGTTCCTAACTTAGCCAATAGCTGGGAAAGTCCCTCTGAAAGCAGGGCAATCAAAATGTATAAAGAACGAGAAGAAGGGGGACTCAAATGCCATTAGGAAAAATATAATCAGAAATATTTATTGCATGCAGTCCTTACTTGAGGCATCCTCCCTGAAACTTTTGTATTTTATTGCTAGACTCTTTTGTTTCCATGTGCAGAAATAAAGCCTGACAATACTCTCCCTTTTTTTATCGAAAATGCCGAATATTTTTAGGATATAGGCTAAACAGGGAACTCTCAAGATAGGCTGGTTTGGGTTACTTTTAATATTTTTTGACATGAGGAATCATAGTTATCGAAACAAGTCTCATTGCTTTCAGTTGAATCAGCCTGAGAGCAAGATTATACCAATGTTAACTATTTCATCTCACTTTTCTATCCAAGAGGACAAAAAGATGGTTCAGACAGAGAAACCTTGGTTCTAATAAAGGGTGATGGCTAAATATTCTTTGTAGAAGTATCCAGAAGCTCAAAAGCTTTACCTGCCATGCCTGCAATAATCCAGACTTCTTTTAGGAGTAATTTGAAAACTGCAGTAAAATTTTTTTCTACAGTTAGGTGTGTTTGAAAATGAACCTCATGAACCTATACCTCATGGTATAGGTAGAATATCAGGAATTTGTTTATCCAAACGAATCTACTTCTAATTATCAATGAAATTTTATTTCCCAAACAAGCTTTATTGTGAGTGAACATACAGTTATATAATAGAAAACCAGTCCCATAGTGACTTCACTAGAACAACTGGCATTGATCTTTGGTGTATCTAGGGTGATTTTCAATCTAGACTAAGAATCTAGTTAGTACAGTTAGAACCCAGGGCAGTTTTATGTTTCTGATTCAGAGCAAAAAAAACCTAAGGAATTGAATGAACATGAAAAATTAGGTGTTTTCTTCAGTCAGTGGAGCAGGAGTTACCATAGAGCCTAAGGCTCTGTAAATGTTTTGTGGTCTCAGCAGTGCTATTAAAGAAGTTATAAGGGTAAACTCAGCACTATAAAAATTGGCTTCTGTATAGTCATCCTCTGTAGCTAATCCAGTGAACCTCCATAGACAGTATTTTCTGCTCAGTCTTGTTTCATTGATATATAAAAACAAACAGATCTTTATCTTTCTATTTTTTCTTGTTTTCAGTTAACTGGCTAGTGAGCAATGTTAATTCAATTAAAACTACTTCAGAAAACTAAAAACATGCAGGAAGAAATTCTGTCTGCATTTGCACTACGGCAGATACAGGGCCATGCTTTTGAACTTCAAATAACTATAAATATTTGTGCCTTTCTGTTTTAAGTACATTGAAATAATTCTAAAGACTCTGTGGTTTTTTTTTTCAAAAAAAAATGCTAATTTTGAACATATTTGCTATGTATCTGTTTAGAAAATTGATTATTTAATTCTCTTTACTCTCATCTTAAAGGACTTCCAACACACCTTCTCTTCCATAACATGGTACTTCTCTCTGCTATGAGTACTTGTATTAAAAAAAGAAAAAAACAGTATATGAGCATTTAGATATTAAGGACTAACCAATACAGAGACTTAATCATTTTGAACTGTCTAGACTCAACAAAGTTGTGGAATTCCCCACAGCACCATCTCTGTAACTTTTATCAACAATGTGAATCTTCCCCTTTTCTGTATCATCCTCATTGCTCTCTTCTGGCAAAGACAACCATATAAACACACTGTTCATCTTTAGCCTGTCATATATAGATCCTTTAAGCAACTTCCAAGTCATGTTTAGATCTCTCCTGAAGCTACGCCTAAACTGCAAAGGCTATGTTGGTGGAATAAGAGGATAGAACCATATAATAAACCCCTCCAATTCTTATAAGCATGTTACCTCTCACTGGTTTCATCTGTTTCCTCTGCTCTCATATTTGAATGAGGACACCAGTCCCTAGTGAGTGCAGAGCTCAGAATGAAAATGAACTACTCAGACACACCAACCTAAAT